GAGTCCTAATTTACCTAATTTACCGCGACACCGGCCGCGTATTTATAGTATATCCTTGATATATATAACAACTATATTCAGAATATATTTGATTTGATTGATTTGATTTGATGATTTAAAAATAGCAAAAATTATTCCTGTATTTAAAGAAGGAGAAAAAACTAATGTAAAACACTATTGTCTAATTTCTAACCTCTGTTTTTTCTAAAATTTTAGAAAGAGTTTTGTACAACAGAATATACAATCACCTTTTATCAAACAAATTATTATATAGCATGCAATATGGACTTAAAAAAAAATAACTCAACCGACCATGCTATTATTTAGCTTACGAGAAGTATATCAGACTTATTTAACAATTTTTTTAGCGAAAGCGTTTGATACCATTGATCGTAAAATTCTTGCTAAAAAATTAAAGTATTAAGGTATAATAGGCAATGTTTTAAAATGGTTAAAAAGTTATTTAACTAATCGTAAACAATTTGTTTACGCCAATGAAACATTTTCATCAAATTTGTTAAATATTACATGTGGAGTTCCTCAAGGATCCATATTAGTACTTCTTCTTTTCCTTATTTATATAAATAATCTATACAAGACCTCGGATTTAATAACAATTCTGTTTGCTGATGACACTCATTTGTTTATATCAGACAAAAGCATTCCTACTCTACTTCATTCGGTGAACATCGAACTAATCAAAATATCTGACTGGTTTAAGACCAACAAATTATCTCTTAACATTGACAAAATTAAATAGATTCTTTTCCATCTTCTCATCAAAAAACATAAACTGCCAATTAACATGCCTCATCTCATTATTGACAGTATACAAATTAAACAAGTAACACTAACAAACTTTCTAGGTGTTTGTATAGATAAAAATTTTACATGGAAAAATCACATTAAAAACTTACCAAGTAAAATTTCAAAAAGTATAGGAATACTGTACAAAGCAAGAAATGTTTTAAACATACTTTAGTACAATTATATCACTCATTTATTCATTGTCACATAAACATGCAAACTTTGCATGGGGTAGTGCAAATAAAAATATACTTAAACCTCTTTATTGTCAGCAGAAGCATGTGGTACGTCTTATATATTTTAAAGACCGTTATACTCATGCCGAGCCTTTATTATTTGAAATGAAATTTTTTAATATATATGAGCTTAATATTTTAATATTCTTCGTTTTATGTTTAAATGTAAAACCAATTATTCCCAGATCTCTTTCCATAATTTGTATTCATCAAAAGATAAAAATAAATACATTTTACGCAATGATAATTTTATTAAGCAGCCCATTTTTAAACAAATCTTTTTAAATTTTGTATTGATTATCGCAGACCATTCTTATGGAATAAAATAGTTTAAAAAAAATTTACTGAGGATTTTATTCATCAAAATAACTATTTTTCTTTTAAACGAAAGCTTAAAGAACTCATTTTTCCAATCGAAGATTTAACAATATACTTTTGCTATTTTTTTAGTGATCTTCCTTTTTACCCTTTAGGGGCTGTCCATTAATTACGCTAAAAAACTATGGTGAGAGGGGGGGGGGGGGTCTGAACTATTTTGACAATTGTTGACAAGGGAGAGGGAGGGGGGGAGGTCAAGAAAAGTTGACGTCAACACTTTATTTTTATTGAACATGTTACTTTTTTTTAAAAATTTAACTATTTAGTAAAAAATTAATTAGGCAGCGTTTGCAGTCCTGTGTTACATAGTCACTTAACCTTCAGTAATTATATTTCTATCCTATAATTTATATTTCTACTTTTTAAAAACCGTTTTGTGCAATAAAAGACCCGACATACAGAACTAAATAACTACACACAAGATGTATACTCGTACCGAGATTTTTTTTCAAAGTTATTGTTGTCTTAGTCTGCTGTGCATTCAAGAAAGATTCATGTAAGTACATTGTCTACATTACGTTGCTTAAATGTTTATACAAGGGGTGAAACCTGTAGCTCCCAAGCCTCTTGTGATTTTTTCGATGTCAAGATGAAGCTCTTTCAGCGCTTAAAATAGTTTTTCAAATCTTGCTGGTCAAATGTAATTGAAATTGAAATTTCAATTACATTTGACCTAAAAATAGCCAATCATTGATTGTTGATCAGCCGTTATTTCAAGCGCTGCTCTTTAGCTGCATCTTTACATTGAAATACCTTGACATGCACAAATATAATCAGGGATGCGGAGTCTCAAAAGAACTACGGTTTTATATCTCTATTTTTTACTGGTCTCTGGTGTCTAAAAGTTCTGAACATATCGATTGATTTATGATCTGGTAAATAAAAAAAACTCATGAAATTTAATAACTTATTGTTTTAAGTCCGGAGCCCCAAAGACCTAGCCGCCATTATTCCTAAGGACTCCGGGTTCAATAAGAGATTGTTCCTTTAACCTAAAAGTCATAAAATATTTATGTTTATTCGGCACACTTTATTACTGGTGGGTTATTTATAATTTGCATCTTAATTTAATACTGTTAATATCAAAATATCAGTACTTTTTATACCATAATATAAAAATAATATGTAGACAGCAATGTATATATATATATATATATATATATATATATATATATATATATATATATATATATATATATATATATATATATATATATATATATATATATATATATATATATATATATATATATATATATATATATATATATATATATATATATTATATATATATATAATATATATATATATAAAATATATATATATATATACATATATATATATATATATATATATATATATATATATATATATATATATATATATATATATATATATATATATATATATATATATATATATATATATATATATATATATATATATATATATATATATATATATATATGGGCGGATCCAGACCATCAAGTAAGGGGGACGATTTTTTAGCAACTACACAAATTTTTTTATGTAATATTCGTTTGAATATTACTCTTTTTCTGTTATACTCTTGTACTTATACTTATATATATTACTCTTTAATTTTTAATTTTATTCTTTAATTCTAAATAAACTAATTTAACCAGTGTAACTATGAAATGACGTCGTATATTGGTTAGTATTACGTTCTAAAATTTGCGCGGTAGAACCTAATTGAGTCACTTTTAAATAGTACGTTGAATGTTTAAAAGCGAAAAAGAATTTATACGAATTTCTATATTCTAATTTTTTTTTATTTACTTATTTATTATGGTTTCTATTTTTGAAAATAAAAACATTACAGCACATTTTTTTTTATTATTTTACTTTAAAAGACGCATATAATATTTTATTATTAATTTGGTATTAGTAATCTTTGCTTCAAATATATTCAAAGTAACATAATAAACTGAACTTTAGGGATTGCTTCTCTAAAATTCTTTTAAATAATTATCTCTTCAATTATCTTAGTTAATCTACATTTTCTTTCATAATTTTGACAGAATAATTTACGTAATACAAACCTATTAAATTAATATAATAGTTGTTTTAGTAGAAACCAGTGCCTTTTATTTAGCAGGTAACAGCAATTAATTTGAGTATATTGAATGATTAAGTAAAGTTTTCGATCAAATATTTTTTACTTAAACTAAATAGTAAAAAAAAGTTATTTTCAAAATCAGTTGTTTTGTAATATTAGTTTAATATCAGTTTACAATAAAAAAAAAGCAAAAAGTTATAGATTGTTGCCATAGTTATTATTATTTTTTCGAGACGCAATGAAGAGAACTAACCCGGTGGGAAATGAGGTAGCGTCTAGCTAGCTTTATAGCGATTTTCAAGCAATTTTTTTTCTTATTTTATTTTTTACTTATGTCTCTAACACCTTTAAAAATTCGATTTTTAGTGTTAGATATCTTAATCATTCTCATTTGGAAAAACACGAATGGTTAGTATATTCAGATAAAAAAAAGGGACTATACTGCAAATACTGTGCATTATTTTCATACCATCGGACTGCAGGATCTCACAAATAAGTTGCACTTTAGAAGCCAGTTAAGCAACCATTACAGATGTTTGCTAAACTGTTTGGCAAGGATGGAGATCTAACAAGTCACAAAAAAGCAATAAATCACAAGGAAGCTGTTGAAGCAGGAAGGTATTTTTTTAAAAACTATAATAAACCAGCAATGGATATTGTAAACAGGAAAAAAACTCAACGGCTTCAACAGGTTTCAGAAAATTTTCAACGATTGACACCTGATGTGGAAACAATTATATTTTTAGGAAGGCAAAATATTCCTTTTAGAGGCCACAGAGATAATGGCAGCTTATTAGACATAGACGATGACGATTCTGATGTAATGACAAATGAAGGTAATTTTCGAGAGTTGCTAAAATTTAGAGTAAACTGTGGCAATTTAAATTTAGAAAATCATTTGAAAACAGGTAGAGCTTCTGCAACATACATTAGCAAAACTACCCAAAATGCTTTAATTGAATGCTGTGGAGAAGAAATATGTGAACAAATTGCGAGTCGTGTTAGAGAATCAAATTATTATGCTATTATGTTTGACGAAACAACTGATGCATCGCATCAGCCACAAATGAAACAATACGACGCTATTTGATGGCTGATGGATCAGTTCGAGAAGATTTTTTTAGATTTATTGATTTGCATGATCAAAATCATCAAACCAAAAGTAATGTAACTATTTACAATGAACCTAATCTTGACGGCAAAGCCATTGGTTAATCTATTATAAACATGTTGGAAAAAAAGTTACGCCTTTCTTTAGAAAAATGTGTCGGTGTGGGAACAGATAGTTGTAGTGTTATGTCGTCATTACAAAAAGGAGCGGTAGTTGAAATTCAACAAGTTGCGTCAAATGCTGTTTAGTGTCCATGTTATAATCATGCTTTAAATTTAACTTTATCTAAGAGTTCTAACATACAAGCAATAAGAAATAGTTTAGGGGTTCTTAGCGAAGTTGTTGCTTTTTTCAATGCTTCTGCCAAACGAAATTTTATTATTAAAAAATGCTAAATTCACAACTGCTTTCACTTTGCGAAACACGATGGGTAGGAAGACATGATGCTTTTCTAGCGTTTAGTGTTGAACTTTCACAAATAATTGATGCACTGGACAATATATCTAAATGGAATGACAGAACATCTTCAATAAAAGCAAGAATTTTATTATTATCAGTTAGAGAAAGTGATTTTATTGTATCTTTAGGCTGTGCAGTACATGTTTTTTTCTTAACAAATGGGCTCAGTCAGTTGTTTCAAAAAAAAAGTTTAGATTTAGATAAAGCAAAAAATTGCATTAAAGACCTGTTAATTGTTTTAAAACATAAAAGAAAAAACTGCAAAGAAATGTTTAAGGAAATTTTTAGAGCCGCAGAAAAAACATTTATTGAAAAAAATGGTAGTTTTAACTGCAAAAGAATAGTACAACGACAGACATGTCGTGAAAATATACCTTCAGATTCAATTGAAGAGTATTACAGGCGATCAATTTCCATTCCTCTTTTTGACGCGTTGATATTGGACATAAGTGCACGTTTTTCTAATGAAAATTTTTAATGTCTTTGGATCTATGCTTTAATACCAAAAAATATTGTTACACTGACTCATAAAGTTATTGTTAAAACTCTTTCTGCATTCAGTAATGTCTATGGCTTCATTCTTGGACTTAGTATCGAAAATTTACCTGCACCTGAATTTACATCGGAAGTTGAACTACAGCAGTGCAAATGTATAAGTATGAAAGATGAGGAAGGAATCACATCACTACCTACTGATCTTTCTGTTGTTTTTGATTTGTGTGACCAGGTGCAATATCCAATCACTCATAAGTTGTTTAAAATTATCAAGACATGTCCTGTAAGTGTTGCCAGTGCTGAGCGTAGCTTCTCAACCTTGCGAAGAATTAAGAATTTGCTGAGAACACAAATGACAGAAAACAGACTAGTCGGATTAGTTTTACTTAATGTGCACAGAGAAATTCCTGTAAATGTTGAAAAAGTGATTGACCGTTTTGTGAATTCGGGAAATCGTAAATTAGAATTTGTAATATGATTAATTAAAATAATCGACAAACTAAGTATGCTTTTTTTATAAATGGCTAATATACTAAATACAAAAAAGTGTTTTTTCAAATCATGTAAGGAGGAGGGGGGGGCCCATCGCCCTCATTGCCCCCCTCGCCCTATGGATCCGTCCTTGATATATATATATATATATATATATATATATATATATATATATACATACATATATATATATATGTATATATATATATATATATATATATATATATATATATATATATATATATATATATATATATATATATATATATATATATATATTCAAAAATAAAAATAAAAAATATATATTTATATATATATAAATATATTTAAAATTAAAAATAAATGTATAGGGGAAGTGGGGGCATAACCGCCCCCGTAACGTTTGGATTAATGTTATACAAAAATAAAAACGAAATGTGTTTTTTTAGAAGTTTATTTCAATAACCACATCATTAAGCTTTAAATTGATGCGTTTAAGTAAAAAATTGAACGGGTTTTGAAAATGTTATTACGCAAAAATTACACTTAGTGAAAAAAACGGTTTTGCCCCCATTGTGAGGCACAACCGCACCCTCACAAAAATCGATGGGGCTACACCTTTCATGGTACATTTTTTTTACAATTTTCACAGCTCAGATTATTTGATGACTTTATTTGCATGTTTGCATACTGTGCAGGCATTTTTTGTATTTACATTTTGAGTTTTGCCCCAGAAGAGAGTTCTGCCCAAGAAGAGAGTTTTTTAGAAGAATTGAGTTTCATAGTTTTATTATTAGATTATGGTATTATTAAAAAAGGCTTTCACTTCATGAAATAATGCTGATAACATATATCTTTAACACTAAGATCAAATATTGCTTAATTCTCAAAAAAAAAGTCAGGAAAAATATGATGTAAATATAATATTTTTATGAAAATGAACATTAGTATTCACAACTTCTCAGAAACTTAATAGTCACTCTTTTTGACATATGCAAAATGAAGGAAAATGCTTTACTAACGTGTGGTATGTTTTTTTCCATATTAGAAAACATTTTTTGAAAAGAAATGTTAAAAAACGGTTGTGCCTCCATATGCGGTTATGCCCCCACCCTTCCTATATATATATATATATATATATATATATATATATATATATATATATATATATATATATATATATATATATATATATATATATATATATATATATATATATATATATTCCCCTATATCTATATATAAATATATATATATAAATATATATATACATATATATATATATATATATATATATATATATATATATATATATATATATATATATATATATATATATATATATATAAATATATATATATATATATATATATATATATATATATATATAATATATATATATATATATATATATATAAATATATATATATATATATATATATATATATATATATATATATATATATATATATATATATATATATATATATATATATATATATATATATATATATATATATATATATATATATATATATATATATATATATGTATGTATATATGTAAGTTATAAATTAAATAATCAAGATAATTTTGAAAAAAAAAATAATGTGAACGTACTCAGAGAGGGTTTCGAAAGCGTACATGTTCAAACAATGGGGGAGGGGATGGGTCCTAAATCAGTGGTTTTACTGCGTACGTACTTTATGGATGCCCCCCTAAAAGACTTATTTTTTGAAGACATCTATTTGCCTTTTCTTTTGATTAATTTTTTAAATAAGTTTTTTTAACTTTTTTTTTATTTTAAGAAAGAATAGTTTGTTTTCCACCAATTCAATATGGTTATTTTTGATTTTATGCAATATAACCACGTGATGCCGACTGAATGAATGATTTTGATGATAATTCATTTGAAAAGGCTTCTTATGAGATTTTTGAATAATAATTTTAATGATTATTATTGAATAATAAGGTCCATTTCAGCTAAATGTGCTTGCAATATAAAATGTTTCATAAAAGTATTTGAAATAATCATTTATAAAAGAAGGTACCATGTCAGTAAATGGTACCTTATTTTATAAGGTATCATTTACTTAACATTTACAAGGTAAATGCCGGTTCTGCTCAATACCATCTAAAATCTTTTCAGATACCTTAGGAATAATTTTCCTCACAGTAATGCTGAGTTGGAAATGTTGTTTAGCATTGTAAAAATAAAAACAAAACTGTCTGAATAGCTGTTTAAAACCTCAATGAAAACAACATAAATTATAAACATAACGAACAAAAATCAGTTTTTTATTTACTAATTATAATTTATCAATCAATCAATATATTTCTGAAATATTTGGTATTAAATTTCAAGGCTGTTTACAAATAGTACAAACTCCTAACATTAAGTAAACATCTAATGACAATAATTAAAATAGTAATGCTAATAATAATAAAAATAATATTTATAATAATAAAAATAATTAATAATAATAAAATGTTATTTTAACAATAGTAATAATAATAATATAGTAATTATATTAATTTAAATAAACCGGTATAACTTTCCATACAACAATCGTTTATACATTTTAAGTTACAGTTACTAACTGTAATAAACTGACAAAACGTAACAACTAACAATGACATAAAAATAATTACTGCTAAAAAAAACTATAAAGATTTAGTAAATATATTAGTTATAGTTCTTATAATATAATTATCAAAATATATTGCAAACAATATGACTAAATTAAAATTTAATTAAAAACATTAAATGACCAGTTCTTTTAGTAATAAAAAGATAGTTGATATTATCTATATACTCTTTAGTTACTATTGTTCCGGTATCAATCACGAGTTGCTAAATTAGGTTACAAACTTTTTGACAAATCGTTCTCAACGTGTTCGTATTAATGATTCATACTCAAACAGTATTCATATGGAAATTAAAGAGTTTTGGGACCCATTTTATTTTTAATTTTTATAAACGATATATCCTCGTGTATTGAGGGGGATTGTGGAATCAAGCTTTTTGCAGACGACAGCTAGTTGTGTCAAGCAAGAAAAGACGGAAATAATATCAACCTTGTAAATACTTTAAAGAGAATTTCAGAATGGTCAAATAATTTTCAACTCAATATATCTACCAAAAAATGTTTGCAACTGCGATACGGAAAGAATCTATTACCAGAGCATTCATACTTACCCAGTGGGCACCGGACCAAAAAAAGACGTCTTTTGAACGTTCAAAAGACATCCAAAACGTTCAAAAGACGTTCAAAATACGCCCAAAATGTTTAAAAGACATCTTTTTTACGTCCGCGTCCATTTGGGTATTGGATATCGACACACCTATCGAATCAATTTTTTCAATCCAAGGTATTGGGATATTTATTTCTTTTGATATGAAATTTTCTAAACACTGTTCTCACATTGCTAGCAAAGCAAGTTCTTGTGCTTTCTTACTCTTAATGTCTTTCATAGTAATGATTTTAAACTTTTGATAAGAGTCTATAAAGTTAATATTCGACCAATTTTAAATTCTTGTACGCCTGTGTAGAATCCGTATCTCTTAAAAGATATACCTCGGATAGAAAAGGTCCAGAAACATTATAAAAGAATTGTCTGCAAAAGGTGTTGTATTCCATATTAAAATTCAAGACTTGTTATCTTAATTCTCTTGGGTTTTAATTGTAGTAAATGTGTTATAATTCATTATGGTACAAATAATCCGCGATTGAAATATACTTTAAATGGTGTTGAACTGAAAGATTTTGAATGCGAGAGAGAGATTTAGGTGTATATTTTTCATCAAACTTGAAATGGAAAAAACAAATTATATCAGGTACTTCTAAAGCAAATTCAATGATGGGTATGTAAAAGATGACATTTTCACGAATTGATGCAAAATTGGTTAAAACATTGTATAAGGTATTTATTAGACCTCTTATTGAGTTTGCAGTACCTGTTTGGTCACCTTATTTTAAAGGAGACATATCACTTTTGGAAAAAGTTCAACACAGGATGACTAGATTAAAAGAGATTGGAAATATTAGATATATCTACATTGAAAACAAGGAGAGAACGTGGGGATTTAATACAAGTGTTTAAATTACTTAACAGATTTGAGGAAATTAATTTAATTAATGAACCGAAGCTTAAAATTGATTCAATTACTCGAGTTCACAATCTTAAATATGAAAGAGAAATTGTGAACTATACCTCGGCATCATTTTTTATTAAATCGTACGGCCAATTTATGGAACGCTTTACCGGAAACTGTTGTTACTTCAAAAACTCTCAATCAATTTAAGAATAGATTAGATGAGTATAACGCCAAATCAAAGAAGTTTTAACTAAACATTTTTAATATATATTTGGATTAATGCTGTCAAAGTGTGATAAACCACACTCGCTGGATTCGTCCAGTTACAGTTTAACTACTAACTAACTAACTAACTATATAAAAAATATATATCACTATTTAAAAATAATTAATAACTAAACAATAAAACAATGACTAACAAACAATAAGCAAAACCTTATACGCTAAAAAACTAAAGAAAAAAATAATTACTACAAGACCACATAACAGCATAACTAAAAAATAAATCATAAATAAAGAATCCAGAAAATATATGAAAGAAAACTAAAAAAACATATAAAATAAAACTAAAAAAATTATGGAAAAATACAAAATTCTTGATTTGCTAATCTAATGCCGATCATACTATTTTAATTTTGCTTGTATGAAAAAAAGTACTTTTTTAAATTTTTTTTATACCTATCAATGTTTTTGCCTAAATTTCAAGGTTTTTTATAATGAATCTCAAGGTTTTAAAAAAAAAAGGTTGGAAGGTCTGTAAAAAGAAAATTCAATGGTTAATTATAATAACTCCGAAAAATCTAAAAAATTAACACTTTTTCTATACATTCATGAAAGTTACTTTAGGCCAGGTGAATAAAAAAAAAGCAATTGCTTTACTCAGCGTTTTTTGGGTAATTCTTTAGCTT